TCATGACTGATAATTTTTTATTCATTTTATATTCAAGGGAAACCAAGGTTTAGATTAAGAAAGTTGCCCAAGATCCCGTGACTTGGCACTAGTGGAGCTGGTGTTAGAACCCTGGTCTTTTCACTCTGGGTATGATGGTTAGTCTCTCTATTACATGATGCTGCCCGTGATGTTACTTGTTTACTTATTTATAACTAAATACATGACTTAAATAGTTCTGAAAAAATATTTCCTGGAGCTTATAATAAAGGTACGAAAGTAAAAACTAAAGTTAGATCAAGGCAATAGAGAAGTAATTCTGCTAGGAACCTGGAATAAAATTTCTATTTGTGTTTTGGCATAAATTTAGATTTCAGACATTAAGCGAGACAAAGCAAGCAAGAAAAAAACTGATAGGTTTTAAGATTCTTTTTCTCTGACAACGAAGCAAGTAGATGTTTGGATGACAGCTTTCTCCCCACTTCTAAATTTTTAAGTAAACTTATCATTCTGCTTTCACATAAGAGATGTTGAGGAACACAGCAGGCAGTGGCTGCGTGGTACATGCAGAAAGTCTTTGTATGGCTTTTTGTATTTTAAAATTGAATAAAGACCGAAGGTATGTAACGATGTCAAATTTTATAAAGCCACCTTGGTAGAAAATGATCTTAGTCCTTTTTTTCTAGTTCTTTAGTCTGTTGCAAGGTGAGAACTTGGAGAACTTATAGGAATGACTGTATTAAATATCTCCCTTTGGTGATTTGCAGGATCTGGAAAGCAGGCAAATTAGGACTGAATTCCTAGAAAACTCTCCAAGTGTGGTGTTACTCTTTATTGATTAAAGAAGGATTTATGTCCTTTAGGAACTAGGCATATAGGTTGCAAATTGATAATCCACTTTTGAAAATTCTGGAGCTTGATAAGTGTTTTTGCCGGGGGAGGTTGTCAGTCCATATCTAGAAGGACCTAGGTGTAGAAGAGCTGGTCGACTGCGATGTGATTTGCTGAAACTCTTTGGCTCTGCCGAAATGCTTAGACAGGAGTTTGGTTGAGACCTCAAAGAATTCTATGGCAAAGGTAATTTTGGACTGGAATTTGAAGACAAATAGTACCAATTGGTTACTTCAGCCATAGTGAAGCCTTACTAAGACTCCTGCAGAATGCCTGATGTTGAGATGCTATACATAGTGGATTATGTATCTTTGAGTAACAGAACATAAGACCCTTTTGAATAGAAATTTATAAAAATCTTTCATTTTAATGTTGAAAGTTGTTTCCTAGAAACAACAATTTTGATTTTGACATAATTTCTGGCACTAATTTGCCAATAGGTTCAGCTATTTCTTAAACAGCTTCTGGTTTCTCATGATGTGATTAGAACGGAAGTATGCACATATCATAGCATTTCTGTGGCAGAATATATATTAAGTTTCTCCAAATTAAGTTGAAGCTAAAGCAGGGAGAGACTCAAAGCAGCAGCCTTGTTTTACGTTATTTAAAATTAAACTTTTGCCTGAGAGCATTCCTTCCCAGTTTCTGAAATTTATGTTATATTCATGTGGCATAGCTCATGTTAATTTTTTTTTCTATTTTGCGGGGGGAGGTAATTAGGTTATTGTTTTCTTAATGGAGATAGTGGGTGTTGAACCCAGGACCTCGTGCATGTGAGGCATGCATTCTACCACTGAGGTTCACAGAAGTTAAATAATTTGCTCAATATTCATTCAGTTGCTAGAGCAGGAATCCAGCATCCAGTAAGTACTCAGCTTCCTGGTTCCAGAGCTCTTTCCACAGTAGGATGCATGTGCAGCTCTTTCCAGCGCATTCCGTGTGTTACCACTAGTAATGCTAGGATACGACTAGAAATAGAAGCAATCCTCTTAGCCCACG